GCGCGGAAGATTGTAGAGCCGCAGCACCCGCCATGGGTGCATCTGCCGGCTACGGCGGCTACGGGCAAGCAGTGCATGACGGCGAGCGTGCCATGCACAAGCTGAGCATTCAGGTTTTGCCCTCGCCGCGCTGATGATCTCGCAGGACATGGTGTGCAGGGCCGCCATGTGGAACATAGGTTTGGAGGACACGCTCACACACTTCACCGGTAGAGGACTTTGCGGGCTTCGAGACGATGCTGGCTTTCCAGCCGCGAGGCATGAAGCAGAGCAAGGCTCGTCAGGCGAGGGCGTCTGGATTATCAAGCGAAAACCTGGCAAACTGGCAAACACTGTTGTTGAGTTTGATGTCCCGAAATCACCTTGATGAAGGTGTTTACAATCTTTTGGGTATCTTAACCGTGTAGGGATGGCCTCATCTGATACCCATGAGGAAGATCCTGCACTTCTTAAGGTCCGATATGTGATCGTCTACTGTCTGGTGCTCTGATCGCCGATGACGGAATACAAGGCACCATCTGTCTGCCATGCATTCTCAAGCATCGTCCATGTGCCATCTTTTTTATTTTGCTGGAGGAGCGGGACAGCTTCTCCTTCGCTGGCTCAATCCCGTTTCCTCGTGGGAGTCCACACCGGTAACAGTCAGATAGGTGCATGGTCACATCGCACCGGACTCTACGCCCCAAATGTGAGAATGTGAGACTATGCCATATGCACTCTATGCCGTCTCATCGCATGAGCTGTTCTGGCTCCAAGCCAAACTTGAAACTGGCTCCAAGCAGTGAACACAGTGTTCACCTAAACCCTTTCAACGTCAACCCTCTGCATGACAGTCCATCTGTGCATCGAGCCTCTGACTCGGATGCCACGAAATCCATGAGTGGAAAGACATAGTCCCCACCCATGCCGAACCTCGGTAAACTGGGGGGGGGGGGGAGAGGGCTACGAAAGCTCATGATCTGGCAATGCGCAGAATCGGGCCTACAATGGTCTGGCTTCGCAGGCACAGCTCGCATTGGTCCAAGTGGCAGGAAGCCCAGTGTGGATTCCTGGCTTGAGCTACCAAAAGCGATGATGCGGCTGCCAAAAAACGCCCTATGAAATCACACCACAGGCCTAGGCCTGGGCATCATCAAGAACACAGGCTACCAGTATATACAGAGAGAGAGAGAGAAACAGCGTGTCTCTCTATGATTCTCTCTGTGTATATATGTGAATATATTACTGTTGCCAGGCAAGCAAAGACTCGGTACAGTCTGTGTCTGTTGCTGGGCCTCATCCCCTGCTGAGACCGCTCGCAGAAGCTGTAGAAACAGCCATCTGGCCCCGCCCATGGCACCGCAGTGTCTGGCTAGTGTGCGGGCTCCCACTGGACTTCACAACTTGCAAGAACACGAAGCAACAAGTGCCAGTGCAAATGCCCTGTGCCCTAATGCCGAAAAGTGCTACTGAGCCGCAAGGCTTGCCACAACTGCCACGACTCACGACTGTCAGAAGATCACAAAGAAGAAGCTCAGGCTCTCCCCTCTGAGCCTCCTTCTCCTCGCGCAGGCGGACCTTCTCCTGTTGCCGAAGCAAGGTCCAATCACAGCAGGTGGATTCAAGGTCTAGACTAGACTCTAGAGTCTAGAGCCTGTCACGTCACCCTTCGACCGAGCATGCAGCAGGCAAGAAGCCTGCCTTCTCGGCGGTCTTGCGCAAATCGGCCAACTGAGATACACGCGACAGCATTGGCGTGGGTTGCGGGCTGGGGCTGACAGATTCTGAATCACACCTACCTACGTGCCTGCCTCCTTCTTGCCTGCCGACCCACGAACCGATCGGCCTACCTCCCTACCTCCCTACCCTACCTGCCTAGCTGCCGCTGCCTGGCTAACTACCTACATAGCTACATCGATACCTAGATAAGTACAGACATACATGTACACATACACAAATCCCGAGTACCCTCATCGAGTGGCCTGTCGCCCAAAAACTTGTGCTGCCAGGAGGTTACAGGAGCACTTCGACTAGCATGATGCCAAACCGATTTCACGAGAGTGCGGTGGCTCGAGATCTCGTTTTTTTCTGCCCGAACCTAGTCGAACCACCCAAGGCTGGGACTGGGCACTTCACGCCCTCCTGAGCCCTTTTCGGTCGGGCCTTTCCGTCATCCGCCACTCCCATACGTTCTGTTCGCTTCACGAAGACCCTAAGGTCGAAAGCCTAAACCATGCGAAAGCTGTACTAAGGGCCCTGCGACACCTCGAAGATGGTCTGCTTCGCCCTCCGCTGGACAGTTGTACACTGCAACTTCGGATCACCTCTCTTACTACAGCTATCCATCGTCTATCCATACGCATTTACAATCTACCAATCTACCTGTCTATCAAACTACTACCTCTGCCTACCTATCTACCTACTGTACCTACCTATTTATCTGCCACTCTATCTGCCTGTCCACATGTCTCTGCATGTTTATGTGCGTCCGCGTCTCTACTGATTTGTCCTCTTTGCGCGCATCTACTTGTCCACTTCGTGTTTTAGCTTGCCTGTTGGATATCGAGCTCCTGTATCTTTGATTTCTGCTATTTCTTTGCTGGAATGAGAGTTCAGGACCCGTTTGCAGCCAGGCCTCCCGAGGTGTTGCCGGCAAACTGAAACCCTAAATCCTACTCTTCATGTTTCGCTCTCGGACAGCCGGAGCTGCAAGGCTACCAGAGAACACCCTACCCACTACAGGCAACGAAGAGCTGAAAGTGTGCACGTCTTGACCTCATTGGAAGTAGCTATACACTCTTTATGTGCCCAGCCATGTTGTACATACATCATAAACTAACGTACATACACATACGTACATGCATACACGCATGCATGCATACAAGCACCCGTGCATCAGTAATCTTGGCCATATGTCCCATACATGCATATTCATACATACATGCATACACACGTATGTGTGCATACTTCTTGTGGGACGTGCTACTGCACTATTCTGCCATATCACACAAGGTGTGGTTAAATAGGTTGACGGTATCTCTACGTTTCTCGATGACTATATTATGGACACGCAGACATACCTTTGCCCGGTTGGCGGTGAGTGGAAAGCCAAAGTGAACAGATCAGCTCAGACAAGGCATGAAGACATGCTTGAGAGAATATTGAATGCAACCTCTTGAAAATGCCAATTGCACCCTCAGCCAACCTTACTCGACACATTTGTACGCAGCTCGGCACGTAGTGATGGAGAACCGCTGGTCCAAAATGAATCAAGGCGCAGTACACAGATTCTTCGGGGAATGGAATGGCATGAGATAGGTCTTCACTGGAAGTACACGACATTCAACCACTTGCGTTGCATGTCATCGTCCTGCCCGTTTGAAGCACTCGCAAGTTGTTGGCAAGCCCCGCTAGGGAAGCAAGTTGCCAAATCCTGTCTATAAGCACCAACGAAATTCATCTTCACGTGAGGCTTCTTACCACAAAACTCACGACGTACTGCAGGCCATTCTTTGAGAAAGCTTGCGGTTGCCTCCTGTGCAGCACCTCTTCATTGATGCATACATTCGTATGTAGTGCGAAAGCGTTGAGGCGTTGCAGCTTAGAATACTAAAAGGCTCTGAACCCTCTGTTAAGGACTGGAAGTTGAAATTTGACCCTTCATCCCAGCCTTCCACTGCTCCTCGATAGCCTGGCCGTGGGTGTTTTGCGTTAGGCTTCGGGCAGGTAGTCTTGACACTCGCCTGGGGCCTGGGAGTTAAGGACGATGGGCATACGAGCTTTCGATCTGCCCTGAAGCCTCCATCGAACCCCACCCGGGAAACTGAGAGTTGCTTGAATCTTCAACGGATCTGCAAAGCTCCCAGACCATGGCATGTAAGTCCCGACCTCCAACTCCGGCCTGGGGGCAAGGCTTCAGGACGACTGGCCCGTTGAGCTGCACTACTTCTGTAATGGAACACAGCAACGCCATAACCGCACATGGCTTCGAAATCTGAAGTGGCGGCGTAGTGCTGGTCTCCGTCTCTGGAGACTCGGGAAACCTTCGATGTGCACAGAGACCTCGCCCTCATGTCTTGACACGCAAAACTCGGACAGAATTGTCCTGCTGCCGAGCTGCAAGGATTTCGTTGTAGGCGTCGTTGTGTACACATCGAAGGCCTCGCTGCTGGTCCTCGGGAACAGGCGCAAGGCACAGCCCAGAATGCAACTCCGGCAACATCTTAGGTGCCGCGCATCGTCTTCTCGTTCTCTTCCTCTCCGCCAGCCGACCTGGGCAATCTGTTCTGCTAAGGCTCTGCATAAGGCCCAGCACCTGAAGAAACCGGACCAGCATAGTTTGTTGGAATTGCTGCCGCGCTGCGTAAGATCCTCTGACTCCTCTGACCTGTCTCACCGGGAACACTCCGACACCGGGCCCCACATCATCCCCAAAGCAGCTTGATCATGTAATGTCGCCGAGCGACGACTGCGGAAGGCTTTTCATTTTCCGGGGTTCAAAGTTCAACCTTAGGAAACTTGAGCCACAGAGGAGACCGCCGCAATAGGTGTTACATTTACATTTACATATGTCCAATGCTCCATGCACTCGCACACGAAACACAGTCCTAGGCCCTAGGCGTAAGCAACGAAACGCGGTGTTCCCACCAACTCCAGTTCTGATCGCAGCTCAGACACTCTCGCTGCATCACCTCCGGCACTTCTGATGTGGTGGTTGTCGTCGCAGCAGAGGAAGGGGAGACCCAGCTCCCGACATAGTTGACAGCATGCCAGGGATGGAGCCAATGAAGGTCCGCCGATGTCGATGTCCTGACTTGCTGATACGATAGATCTGCTTGCTTGCTCTCGCGCCCGGTCGACCTAGGCAAGTTACCTCAAGAAACAAGGCTGACAAGTTGGACACAGGGCTTCTCAACAACCTCCCCAGCCCTAGGATGGCGATCTAGCTTCATCGTGCAACATGGCCAAGCATATAAGGGAGAAGCGCAGCCCTAAAAGAAATCACCGCAGCATTTCGATTATCAGCTTTGCAAACGGCGGACGTTGCGGGAAGCATCTCGCCGACCCCTTTCGCACTTCGCACTTCTTGCAAAGAAGCGGCGTCGTGGTCTCTGTCTCTGGAGACTCGGGAAACCTCCGATGTGCACAGAGACCTCGCCCTCATGTCTTGACACGCAAAACTCGGACAGAATTGTCCTGCTGCCGAGCTGCAAGGATTTCGTTGTAGGCGTCGTTGTGTACACATCGAACGCCTCGCTGCTGGTCCTCGGGAACAGGCGCAAGGCACAGCCCAGAATGCAACTCCGGCAACATCTTAGGTGCCGCGCATCGTCTTCTCGTTCTCTTCCTCTCCGCCAGCCGACCTGGGCAATCTGTTCTGCTAAGGCTCTGCATAAGGCCCAGCACCTGAAGAAACCGGACCAGCATAGTTTGTTGGAATTGCTGCCGCGCTGCGTAAGATCCTCTGACTCCTCTGACCTGTCTCACCGGGAACACTCCGACACCGGGCCCCACATCATCCCCAAAGCAGCTTGATCATGTAATGTCGCCGAGCGACGACTGCGGAAGGCTTTTCATTTTCCCTGGTTCAAAGTTCAACCTTAGCAAACTTGAGCCACAGAGGAGACAGCCGCAATAGGTGTTACATTTACATTTACATATGTCCAATGCTCCATGCACCCGCACACGAAACACAGTCCTAGGTGTAAGCAACGAAACGCGGTGTTCCCACCAACTCCAGTTCTGATCGCAGCTCAGACACTCTCGCTGCATCACCTCCGGCACTTCTGATGTGGTGGTTGTCGTCGCAGCAGAGGAAGGGGAGACCCAGCTCCCGACATAGTTGACAGCATGCCAGGGATGGAGCCAATGAAGGTCCGCCGATGTCGATGTCCTGACTTGCGGACAGACTAACATGGACGAGAAGATACACTGCGAGAAAAGCCCAACTTATTCAAGCGAATGCAGCTCAAGCGACGTGTTTGTAACAAGGTCACGCAGCCTCAGTCGCACAAGCAACACTTCCAGATTGTCTGCTAAGCTCAAACAACCCGAACCGATCATGTCGAATCCACTGCTGATTGCTCCGGGACCCCTTTGACACCTGGACTATGCATATGCCAGAGCCCCTGAACGGTAAGAGTGTTTGTTGTTTGCTTCGTTGCTTTTTTGCTGTCGTTTCGGGGCGCTTTTTTGTCGTTGATGGGGCGCGTTTTTCTTATGCTGTCGTTGCGCGGGCGTGTTTGTTTGTTTGCTGTCGTCCCTGGGGGACGCGTTTTTTTCCTGTCGTCCCTGGGGGCAAAAAAACGCGCCCCCCAGGGACGACAGCAAAAAAAAACGCGCCCCTGCAACGACAGCAAGAAAAAAAACACGCCCCCGCAACGACAGCCAAAAAAAAACGCGCCCCGTGTTTTTGTTTTTGCTGTCGTTGCTTTTTTGCTGTCGTTGCGGGGCGCTTTTTTTCTGCTGTCGTTGCGGGGGCGCGTTTTTTTTGCTGTCGTTGCGCGGGCGGGTTTTTTTTCTGCCGTCCCTGGGGGGCGTTTTTGTTTGCTGTCGTTGCGCGCACCGGGGGTTCACTCACTCAATGGCTTCCTGGGCTGGGTCCGCGCAACGAGAACAAAAGAAACATAAAGGCAACTACAGCAAAAAAAAACACTGGTTCCGCCCCTGAACCCTAGACCCTCTATCTGTAAATTGTAAGCTTCTCGGCACCGTCGGATGTGAGCACTGCTTCCAAGCAACGACATATTTGTGTCATCGTTCCTCGGCTGCGGTGGAGAAACCCAGCAAAAGCCACCACAGCCCCCCTCCCCAAAAACCGAAACCGAAAGTGCAACCCAGGAGTTGGTGGTGGCATCCTGGGACCGATAAATACATATAGTTACACACACAGATACTTATTTATATATATTTATATATATTTATATATTTATATTTATATATATATATGCACATTTGTATAAACATGTGCTACTGTAGCGAAACCATTTATGAGCTCGTTGATGTACGGGGTATGTATTCATATTCTGACTTGCTTGTAGACTTCTTCTCTATCAAGTGCTGCACAGGCTCTTTAGATTTTCGCTGACTTCGTGGATCTCGGAGAAGATGTCCTCCGAAGTGCTGGTCGCCGGGGCTGTCCTTCTGCTGACATTGAGCTGACAAGCCAAACAGTTCAACTCAGCGTCTCATGCGGCGGTATGCGAGAAAAAAAAAGGGTCATGGGAAGACTGACTACAGTTGTTCATCATTTCTGGATTCGGTCCCTCTACGACTCGAAGCCCCCCAGATTTGCAAGACGTCGTCTCACATGCTAAGGCACTGACAAGCAGAACCAAACATAGCTAAGCAGAGTCTGAGGACACGGGGGTAAACATAATCGAACTGAGAACGGCGCATAAAAGCTACAACAGCCCGAGATGTGTCTTCCAGCAGGACCTGAACAGTGCGTCCAACAGCTTCCATCTTAACTTGGACGTCAACAAGATGGCTTAGAATGCCCGTCTAGCACCTACTACTTTCTGCGACCCCTGCAAATCACACGGAATCCCCCACCCGAAGCCCGTTACCAATGGAGATGCAAGGCCACTCGAAAAGCAAGACACGCTGTTCGTAGGCGTGGAGATACTGGGACAACTCAGTGATGCTGTCTTAAATTATCGGCTAGCAAAAGACGCCCCATCTTCATAACATGCCGAGTGTCGGCAAGCACTTCAATTGGTCCTCGTCCCTGGGATCGGACGTCTACTGCATGCACTTGCCGCAACTTTGTAGCAGTGGCCGCAGCAGTAGTCGCAGTGTTGCAGTACTAGCAGCGGTAGTAGCAGTGGTAGTAGTGGTAGTAAATCTTGACGCACAGGCTTCCTCGCTGATCAGCTCTCGTTTGCCGGCACGCAGCAGGAGTGATAGTAGTAGTAGTCGTCGTCGTCGTCGTAGCAGTAGTAGCAGTAGTAGTAGTAGTAGTAGTAGCAGTGGTAGTAGTGGCAGTAGCTGCAGTAGCTGCAGTAGCAGCAGCAGCAGTAGCAGCAGCAGCAGCAGTAGCAGTAGCAGTAGCAGTAGCAGTAGCAGTAGCAGTAGCAGTAGCAGTAGCAGTAGCAGCAGCAGTAGCAGGAGCAGGAGCGGGAGCCGGAGCAGGAGCAGTAGTGGTGGTAGTAGTTTGGCTCCCACTTGTCAGCGTCTCGATGACTCTGCTCTGCAGGCAACACGTCGACTACGGCTATCTGATCTTCTCAAGAACCGTTGGCCAACAAACAAAACACAACTCGGCTAGATGCATTAACTACGTGCCGACAACAGTCGTGGTAGTAGTAGTAGTAGTAGTAGTAGTAGTAGTAGTAGTAGTAGTAGTAGTAGTAGTAGTAGTAGCAGGCGTAGTAGTAGTAGTAGTAGTAGTAGTAGTAGCAGTAGCAGTAGCAGTAGCAGTAGCAGTAGCAGTAGTAGTAGTAGTAGTAGTAGTAGTAGTAGAAGCAATAGTCGTCGTCGTAGTCGTTGTCGTCGTAGTGGTAGCTGAGCACCAGGCCATTGGCATTTCGTCTTCCGGTCTCCATTGGGATCCTCGCAAGCCTCCTGGCTCACGATTGGTCCTGATCTGCTGCTGTCGAATACATGCATTTTGGCTGGAGGTTCCCAGTCTGGGATTTTTTCGCTAGCAGAAAGCATGGGATGCCTTTCTTGCGTCTGGACTCCCTGACAAGCTCAACCCAAGCCCTCCGAGTGTTGGAGAGTATGTGCTTCTTACCTACGGCTTCGAATGCCTAAAACGATACAAACGACACATCAACAATCTGATTTGACCATAGCTAGAGGTGATGGTCGCAGCAGCAGATTCAATAACAGTAGCAGCAGCAGTAGCCAAAGCAGCAGCAGTAGCAGTACCAATGACCGTAGCAATAGCCGCAGCAGTAGCGGCAGCAGTAAAGGTAGCGGTAGCTGTAGCAAGAGCAGAAGCAGCAGCACATAGCAGTAGCAGTAGCAGCAGCAGTAGCAGTAGCAGGTCCTTGTCGCTGTGAACACCCTTTTCCAAAATCGATCTGTGAACCAAGAGGCCACCCTGATGATTGCATCGGCACCAAATCTCCGAGCCTGGCGGCAGCGACAGGCGTGCAACGTGACACTAAAGAAACGGTCCATTTCCGTGCTCAAGCCTTGGCAGAACTCGACCAAATACATCGCCCAACCGGAGCAACAACAGTAACACACAGCCAGCAGCTTAAACAAAATCAACGACGAACAATCGGAAACACAATCACAGCCATGTCCCATCCGCTGCAATGAACAACAAACCCTGCAGCAACAGCAGTTCAAAAGAACGAGACTATAATGAGGACAGCAACCAACAGCAAGCATCGGCATGACTTTTACAACATCATCATTAGCATTGTTATCCACATCGGCAAAGAATTCGGCCATCAGCGTCACCATCGCAGCAACTTTCTTCCCTCTGCTCAGAAGGACCCAACCGAGATCCCCCCCACAAAAAGCGGACCTGGAGTTGAGCCTTTCCGCTTCTTGCAAGCACCCAAGTCCTGGCAGCTCTCAGGGGCCCTAAACCCGAAACCCGAAACTTTCCCCTAAACCCTAACACCCTTTGTTGCAAACCCTTTCAGCACGGACTGAGGTGCCGGCCAGCGCCCACGAAACTCGTAGCCCCGTTTTAAGGCCAGAGTTCGAAGGAAAAGCTGTAGAAGACCACTGACTGAAGCTTAAGCTGAAGATCCCTCGAGAGAAAAGAACAATCGCAATTGTTGCAAACCCTAAACCCTAAACCCTGAACCCTGCACAGGCTTGTGTGAATCGCGGCTGGAGGTGTCGCCCCTCCTGAACCCAGACTCTGCTGATCAGATGGAAACCCTAAACCCTAAACACCCCCTAAACACCCCCTAAACCCTAAACCCTCCCAGAACCCTGAAGCCCAAACCCTGAACCCTAGACCCTAAGCCCTAAGACCGGAGCATCAAAAAAGGGGCGACCTCCGACTCCAAGGCCGACCTCGTGACAGCGCAGAGGCAGAGGTATGGGGACGGGGAAGTTCAGAAGTTCAGGGATTAGGGTTCTTCTCTTGAGGGCCTAGGGTGTCGGAGGAGGAAGCCCGCATTGCAGGGTAGTTTCGGGTTTAGGGCTTAGGGCTTCGGGATTACATCCAAGTTCTGGCGAGCCGTTTGTAAAACCTTCTAGAGGCTTCCGTTCGCCCCTCGAAGCCTGCAAGCCTTGTTCCTTGCACTCGAACTCCGTTTGACATGCCTGCAAGGTTTGGGCTTCGGATGGCCATCGCCTACAAGCCCCGATCGGGCATACAGGAAGCAAGAGCTCCCTCGCAGTCTCTTTGTGAAAGGCTTGGCCAAGGTTTTCATGCAGGGCTGCCTGGCATGGGGTCTTGTAAGTACTCCGGAGAGAACCAGTTTCAGCTTTCCCGACCATGACCCCCAATGTGATCCCACGCATGTCGCACCGCACCAGCAGCAACAATCTGGCCAATCTGGCCCTTTCGCCAGGTCCCTGCAATCCTTCCAAGCGCTGAGGCTTGTAACACCACCTGTACTCTCCCTGCCATGCTTTGGGTCGGCATCCGCCAAGCAGCGACGAGATGTAGTGAAGGGTAGTCGCCAAGTTATTCGAGCGGAATGGGGACGTGCCCGCCGACAACTAACGAATGAAGCCGTCACTAGAGGTAGCCAGCATGTGGGCGGTTTCCATGACACAGAAGACAGCGAACCTTCTGAGTTCGAAGAGCGACTACAGCAAAGGTCGAGACTAGCCTAAATCA